TATGGTAGGGCAATAGTTTATGAGTACTGGTAGGGCATATTGAGTAAATACATGGTAGGGCAATATTGAGTAAATACCGGCAGGGCAATATTGAGTAAATACACGGTAGGGCAATAGTTAATTGAGTACATGGTAGGGCAATAGTTAATTGAGTACATGGTAGGACAATAGCTTATTGAGTACACAGTAGGCAATAGTTGATTGAATTCATTGTAGGGCAATAGTTGATTGAATACATGGTAGGGCAATAGTTGATTGAGTACATGGTAGGGCAATAGTTGATTGAGTACATGGTAGGGCAATAGTTAATTGAGTACATGGTAGGACAATAGCTTATTGAGTACACAGTAGGGCAATAGTTGATTGAATTCATTGTAGGGCAATAGTTGACTGAATACATGGTAGGGCAATAGTTGATTGAGTACATGGTAGGGCAATATTGAGTAAATACATGGTAGGGCAATATTGAGTAAATACACGGTAGGGCAATAGTTAATTGAGTACATGGTAGGGCAATAGCTTATTGAGTACATGGTAGGACAATAGCCTATTGAGTACATGGTAGGGCAATAGCTTATTGAATTCATAGTAGGGCAATAGTTGAGTGAATACACAGTAGGGCAATAGTTGATTGAATACATGATAGGGCAATAGTTGATTGAATACATGGAAGGGCAATAGTTGATTGAATACATGATAGGGCAATAGTTGATTGAATACATGGTAGGGAAATAGTTAATCGAGTACATAGTAGGGGCAATAGTTAATTGAGTACATGGTAGGGCAATAGTTGATTGAATACATGGTAGGGCAATAGTTGATTAAGTACATGGTAGGACAATAGTTGAGTGAATACATGGTAGGGCAATAGTTGATTAAGTAAATGGTAGGGCAATAGTTGATTGAATACATGGTAGGGCAATAGTTGATTGAATTCATGGTAGAGCAATAATTGATTGAATACATGGTAGGGCAATAGTTGATTGAGTACATGATATGGCAATAGTTGATTGAATACATGGTAGGGCAATAGTTTATTGAATACATGATAGGGCAATAGTTGATTGAATACATGGAAGGGCAATATTGAGTAAATACCTGGTAGGGCAATATTGAGTAAATACACGGCAGGGCAATATTGAGTAAATACACGGTAGGGCAATAGTTAATTGAGTACATGGTAGGGCAATAGTTAATTGAGTACATGGTAGGACAATAGCTTATTGAGTACACAGTAGCATAGTT